CACACACACACACACACGCACGCACACACACACGCACACGCACACACACACACACACACACACACAAGCACACACACACACAAACACGTACACATGCACTCACATTTATGCACAAACACAATCTGGAAATGACACGAATCAACATGAAAGCCTTTCACTTGATGGTGCGATCCTTTCAATATCACAGGCTCACGCTGACTTTGACTTTTACCTGACAAAGCTCGGGTCGAGCTCAAAACAGCGAGGTAATAAAATTATTGTTTCTCCTATCAAGGAATATATTATCATTGTACAAAAACCCAACAAAAAGCAAAAAAACAAAAAACAAAAAGAAAAAAAAAGGTGCACGAGGTTGCACGTGGATTAGTCATTAGCCGAGCATGAGTTGCAGAACTAAATTATTATTTTGCCAGAGTAAATTAGAAAACTGCACACAATTGGAGCTGACAGACAGCGTGACATCACCTCGATGTGTCGACTTGGCACGTTTCAGGTTAAATGAGCTATTAATCCCGAAGCCAGATTTTAATAGCATTTATTATTATGCAGTCTGCGAACATTTCAGTTCTGTTATAAGCAAAAAGTAAAGATACTTGGATAACAAGTTTTTGTTTGTTTGCTTTAATTTTTCCTAAAGAAAAATTAGAACATCAAACCAATATAAAACAAACAAGAAATCCAGGAATAGGATAATCAAGCTCGAATCTTTGCAAAGAGAACTGTCACAGGAGCTGAAACAAAATGGGTCTCTTACAAAGTTTTAAAAAACCAAACAACACCATGTTACCTAGCATACTTGAGAGATCACCAAAACAATTTTTTTTTTAAATTTAAAAAGGAACCCCAAAGAAATCTGTCGTATTTCTGTTTTAAAAGCAGGGGTAAGTGATTGAAGGGTATGTGCCGTTATGGCTCTATCTGAATGGCTTGTAAAATAAGTGTATGCATTGAACGCCTCTATCAACGCTATTAGGTTACTTTGAGAGGCGGGGCTCCGGAGAAAAAGTCCGTCTTCGATAGGACAGAGCCATTAAAACATAGGGAGAGCCTTGAAAACTCTACACAATCACCACAGTTCAGGTTAGGGGTTCGAATCAGGGCCATCCACTCCGTGGTCCAACATTCAACTACACTTACGGAGCGCGGGTTATTCTGATAGCTTTAGCATACGCATTGTCTCTAATGGGGGGTAGGTTTGGGTTTGTGCTGAGCTCGTTATTATTCTGATTCTTCTTCCTCTTCTTAGCTTTCCCACGGTGTTGCTTCTTGGGCCTTTCTGTAATAAAACACCCAGTCTCTTTCTTGAACTGATTAATTTGAAATTGTTCTCAGCCCGTTTTACTTTAATAAGTTAGTTATGTAGCAGAATCTCTTAAGTAGCTGCAACAACACTGACGAGAGACGGACAGTCCGATAAACTGCGGCCTAGCTCAGATCCAGATACAGGTTCGAACTCGGGTTGCTCATACCGCAGTATGTTTTACGAACTGCTGCTGATGCCAGTAGTGATACAAATTTTGACGGGAACGTTACTGTTTCAGAGTTTTCAGAGGGGTTGCATATTTTTTGACTAAAACTTAATTGTCAAATTTTGATAAGTCAGAGTCGACCCAGTCAGATACAAAATGCTGGAGCGTCCGGCTGGCCGAGCGAGGCTGCTGTGGCACCGAGCTCGTTGCGCGATGCCTTCTTTTGGCCGCACGGTGCCCGACAGTGCCTTCAGGCTCTCGACACTGTTCTGATCTCTCCCAAATTTCGCACCACGGGCCCTCCTGACTGTGCGAGAGAGTGCGTGCGTGTCTCGTTGTCGTGGCCCGTTCTCTCGCGTCTGCGAGCGCTGGATGTACTTCACCACCAGTGACTGATCGTCCAGACGAGACGAGCGCTGGATGATACTGGCGGCGGGGGTGTTGCGGTGGGAAAGGGACGATACCGCTTTTGACAGCAGCAGACGAACTGCTGTCTGGCGCGGATGTTTGAAACTCGTGCTCGACTTGTGTTTTTTTCAGTAGGTGTTCGGGATACATGTATGCATCGTTGGCTGCGAGGAAGGACTCGCTGAGTCGCGGATTTTAGAGAGCGAGGCGGTGTGACTTGGAGATTGAGAAGCTTGTGTGTCGTGTCCCTGTGATGACGGCTGCTCTTGTTGGTGTCGTCTGCTAACGTTGATAGTAACCTTGGCCGCACTGTGTGGAGTGTGATAATATTCGCTCTGTGTGTGCGTGTGTGGTGTGCGTCTTGGATAGCAGTTCCCAGCGAGAATCACCTAAGGTAATTATGATAAACATATACGTATAAATTAATTATAATCGTTCCAGTTTGAAGACGGCAAACTTTGGGAGACAGAATAAAGAAATAAAGAAAAACCTTGTTGATAGAATATGAAACGTGATATGTAATCAGCTTAAGATAAACATGGGTCGGTTGATAGATGGATCCGACAGATGGACGGATGGGTGAAAGAAACAATGGTTGGATGGATGTATGGATGAATGAATGGATCGATAGATGGATGGATGGACGGACGGACAGACGAAGAGAGCAAACCAGAAAGATCCAAAGAACGAGGCATAGGAGCCCATAAATGCGTGTCTAATTCATAAATGTTCTTAATAAACACTTGTTGTATTTAGTGTTACACTCTGACAACAAAGTCAAAAGATGCGTCCATCCTGTACTTTCGATACTTGGGGGGGGGGGGGGAGACAATCATTTTAAACGTTAGGTTAAGATGGCAAAAACAAAACAAACAAACAAACAAACAAACAAACACATACGCACTGCAGCCTAAGCTATTTCTTGGATGGTTGAACGTTTTGATGGGAACAAGAATAGGGCATCAGGAACTGGAACTTTGCTGATGTGACAGTCTGTACTTTCATCAATCTATATTTAATTTATGCACTGAATTTTCGCACAATATCTGACATAGTACGCATTTTTTCAGTCTCATCTCTGAAAGACATGAGAGAGAGAGAGAGAGAGAGAGAGAGAGAGAGAGAGAGAGAGAGAGAGAGAGAGAGAGAGAGAGAGAGAGAGAGAATGTTTTGAGGGAGGGGGTTCTTTGGTTGAAAAATTTGCTGAAAGAGAAGCTGAAAAGATTAGCGAAAAGAAAAAGATACAGAGAGGAAGAAGGATAAGAAGAG